TTAGCTCTAAAATAGGGTGCGAGTTGTAGAATGCCCCTCCTCAATTTCGTGGTGTGATAGAAAGAAATATAGTTGGTAGGTAATCATTAGCAGTAGAAGCACTGGAGGATAACTGTCGCACTGTCCGCGCTGTCAAAGGCATGAAATGTCTTCGTCCATTCACACACGGGGATCGTGGGTTCCAGTCCCACTCGAGGCATGGATGTCCCTCCGCGTTTGTTCCGTGTTTATATTGTCCTGTGTAGGTAGCGGCCTTGCGACGGACTGATCCCCCGTTCAGGGAGTCCAACCGACTGTGTATGGCATTCATAATTTCAGAATTATTTCTGAATGGGAACAGGCCACAGCCTAATCCGTCAAGAAGGAGAAGAAGAAGAATAAGGGGGAGGAGGAGGCGAAGAAGGATGACGATGATGATGATAATAATAATAATAAGAAGAAGAAGAAGAAGAAGAAGAAGAAGAAGAATGAGGAGGAGGTTTTTACAGTAAGCGAACCGTGCCGATTCTGGTATAGGCCCACAATTATACTGCACGAGTCAACCGTGACTGCTCAACGGGTTTCTTGATCTAAGGAAATTGGATTTGAGGCCTTCATGGATGTTAACTCTGAGGAGTGCGGTCTTCTGGGCTGTAATGCCGTTTAGTATGTAGACAGCCGGACGTTTTGAAGGAACATATCGCTCCCATCTTCATGGCCGAATAATAAGCCAGGCAAGAATGCAACGGTATGCTTCTGGGTTTCCCGCGTGGCTTACGCGGTGACGTCAGTCCGAACTGCAGGGCGTTGCATCCCAGAACACCGGGTTCTTACTGGTTTGCAGTTCGTATACTTGCCTTGCCAAACAATTCCCTGCACCGACCAGACTGATGTAGCGGAGACACTGTAAGCTTATATTTGGAAAGTTCTCGGTTCGAGACATCGGCCATACCGACTGAGGTTTTCGTGATTTTTTCCAGCCCCCCCCCCCCGAAAAATGCTGGGTTAGTAACTCCTGCCAAATCCTTCCCGATACATCTGTCATCCTAACACTGGGCAATATATATGTAAAATAAAACTATCCACAAAAGGGAATTTCCTGATTTTATGTAACCCGAAAGTTCATCATCGAACTCAAAGAATCCAGCGTTTAAACTTTATTATGACCCGGCTGAATCCATTCAGCTTCTAAACATTCTCGTATTTACTTTAATATTATGCTTCTGTATGGACGTATGGACGGGGTAGCTCAGTTGGTATAGCGACGTGCTACGGGCAGGACGTCTCGGGTTCGATTCCCGGTAGTGCAGAATTTTTCTCCATAGCATCGAGACAGGCTCTGGGTCCCACCCAGCTTTCTATCCAGTTGGTACCAGGGGCTCTCACCCGGGGGTAAAGCGGTCGGGGTGTGAAGCTGACCACTCACTTTCATCTAGTACCGAGGTCAAGAATGGTGGAACTATACGTCCACTCCCGTATGTCTTCATGGCGTAATGCATAATTAATTAAGCACGTGGACAACTTTACCTTTTTACATTTACCACAGAATCACG